AACATAATTATAATCATTAAAATAACTAAGTTACTCTTTATCAACTATCCTTATTTGGTCATATACTATTTCTATTATTATTATTATTATTATTAAAGTTATTATTATTATTGTTGGGGAATATTATCCCGGCCCACTATTGTTCAGAGGCCCAAGTCATCACCTGGTATGAAGCCCGGTCAGCAAGGCCCATTTAGGCCTACCCGGCCCATTTCGGCCTAACCGGCCCGAATACGAATTATTTAGGCCCAATAAGGCCTTTTTGGCCCATTAGTACCTTTTCGGCCCATTAGCCCCTTTGGCCCATTGGCAAACCCTCCCATTTCCTATAAATAGGGAGGAAGGCACCCATTTGAGGGATGGCTCTTTGCTCCTGGAGTGAGATCTTCTCCCCCACCCTCTTTATTCTTTTAGATTAGCACCAAGCTCCATGAATGGAGTCTCAAGACATGTATTATGTAATTGAGTGATGAGAGGGTAATAATGAGAAAGAGCGGGCTTGGACGTTAGCCTAAAAAGTCCCGTGGTTTTCTCCTTTTCCGGGTTTCCACGTAAAAATAGCTTGTACGTAAGATTTTGTAATTTATTATAAAATCTGCATAGCTTGTACAATATTTCATTCATTCGTAATTAAACTTCCTATTATATTTTCATGGTATTTATGAAGAAAATAGTATGAGTAATATAGAGTGTGACATTTATTTGTCAGTAAATGAAAAATAGGAAACATAATTTAATAAGAAAAGTAATTAAGTGAGTGGAGTAGAAAAGTTACTAAAAATATTGGAGATGGATAATAATAATAATAATAATAAAAGAAACTAGTTTTCAAAATGTAAAAAAGTGAACTAATGATAGTATTTTTATAAGAACAATTACTAAAAAAGTGAACAACTAATATAAATTTCCCAAAAGGAATATATGATAAGTAACAAAGAAAGGAGGGAATAAATTCTTAAGGTTTTAGACTTTTAGTATATAATTTTATCTATTTGGGTACTCTAACAGATACTCTCACTTTTTTTTTTCTGATGGTTCCTCAAGTGTTCGGAAATATTCTACTTTTTAACATTGAGTTACATCTCTACAATAGTTTTAGTTCTTTTAAAATTACTTTTAAAGACTTACAAAATTCTTACTTGAAGAGTTATTAAACATTCTTATTTCCCAAAGTTTTTTAAGAAATTTAAATCATCCCTGATATTTTTAATGTTCTTTGGAAATGGATGAGGTGAGCACTTTTTAAGTATAATATTAATACTAAATAATTAGTATACATATATTCTGACTTACGGGGATGTCCTTTCTAATTTTTTGGGACATAAATATGAATACATTTACTATGAGTATACTGTTATGATCACTGCATTCCAAAATTATTAAACATGATCATAATCACTCAAATTAGTATTAGAGTTTCTAAAGTACGAAAAGTTACATTTTTATTCTCTATCCTCATTATATATAAGCCTAGTTACAAGATAGTCAAAAGCTAACTTTTTATATTATTATTATTGTTGTTGTTGTTGTTGTTGTTATTGTTATTATTATTATTATTATTATTATTATTATTGTTGTTGTTGTTGTTGTTGTTATTGTTGTTATTATTATTATTATTATTATTATTATTATTATTATTATTATTATTATTGTTGTTGTTGTTGTTGTTGTTGTTGTTGTTGTTGTTGTTATTATTATTATTATTGTTATTATTATTGTTATTATTATTATTATTATTATTATTGTTGTTGTTGTTGTTGTTATTATTATTATTGTTATTATTATTGTTGTTGTTGTTGTTGTTATTGTTATTATTATTATTATTATTATTATTATTGTTATTTTTATTGTTATTATTATTATTACTAATATTATATATTATTATTATTACTATTATTATTATAATAATAAATAACAACAATAATAATAACAATAATAATAATAGTAATAATTATAATAATATATAATATTGGTTGTATTATTATAACTATTATTATTACTTATTATTAGTAACTTGCACTATAATGTTTGTACCTTGCACTTTTTCGTGATGACAAAATATTTATGAAACTGACAACACATTTATTTGATGTTATCATGTTTTAATCAAATTGCGTTAAAGATGTTCTCACGTTAAACATTATTCTCATTAGATCTAAATAGACCAAAATGTTATTAAAACATAGTACCAAGGTGTTAAAAACTTCACAAGTTCGGAAATCAAAAATATTCTAATAACGATAAAACAACAAAAAAATGAAAATTAAGGACCAGAAAACATAATGCAAAGCCTCCAACTTGCCAGAGACACATCCAAGTCTTCACTTCTTTGATTTTTTAGATACCTGTGGGACTGATTGGGTTTGGGGTGATGTTGCTGGAGCAAGTGCTTCCTTCTCCATTGTGCCCTTAGCAAAATGTTCCTCTCGCCTTGCAAACTTTCTCTCATGGCTAGCCTTGTTCTTGGCTGTCTTGGCCTCAATTTGATCAGAGAATCTCTTCTCTATGGCTTTCTCTGCCTTTGATTTGTGGATGTTTTCCATCAACACACGCTTGTTTTTGAAGACATTTCCCTTGACTTTCATGTACACATCATGGTACATATGCTTGTCAATCTTCTTAGCCTCTCTGTACTAGTGAAGTAAATTTACCATATCCCTAGCTTCCTTCATTCGACGGGCACGAGACCCGGAGTGGATCTTAATTGGCTTCTTGATAATAAACTCATCCTTTACCAACTTCCTGATGTTTTGACGAGAGTTAACCATGGAGATTTCATTGACTTCATTGGGATCAAGCTAGACCTTTCCCCTTCTGCACTTGAGCACGCTTGCGGTGAGCCGCTTTTGCAACTTCAATGACACAATGTTCGCCTACCTCTCTTACCCTCACTTGATCTAAAGGATTTAGTTCAAATAAGGGATGTTCATATTGTTGAAGAATATTCTATTGTGAATCAAGCTTGTCTGATGTCATGTAATAGCTTAGCTTTTATTATATCCCTTGTAATTAATGTTTGTATTTATTAGGGTATAAAGGATATGGGGCCAAAGTGTCAGGCCCATATCAGGTTGAAAGCCTTTACGCAAACCTTAACCTGCACATATAAAAAGGCGCATAAGGTTTAGGTTTTGCATTAACTTTGCATATTGATCTTATCAGCCTTAGCGCTCATCCTTGTGTTTGTAAAGTTCACGGTATATCAAAGACGAGTTTAAGGATCTCCAGCGTATATCTTTCTGCTACTCTATCTTTGTTATATCAATCTCTATTGCTGAAATCGTATAAACAGGGACAAACAATTGGTATCAGAGCTGATCGAGAACTGATCAGAAGAACAATGATGAAGACTGTTATTTTTCATCGTTCATTTGTATTTTTCTTTTTTATCATTTGTACTCCTGTTCTTGATCAAAAAGCTGTAAAAGTTATACTGTTGAGATCGCACTGCTTAGACGATCAAGCAGTATACCTTAGAATTTGTTTTTCGCAAACTTCTTGTTTAAGAGATCTCGACAGGTAGATCTCGAGATTACCTTTTCTACAGGCTCTGCTTAGCTTTTTTGAGCTGAAATTTTCACAGGAGGATCTCGACATCAAGGACTACAGAAAACAGCTTTCCGATTTTGAAAACTCGAATTTTTCTTTTTGCAGGATCTCGACATTGAGGATATCGACTTTCGGAACTCGACATTTGGGTCTCGAATATTCAGATCTCGACATCTAGATTTCGACTTTTGATATCTCGAAATCCAAAATCTCGAAGTATATATCTCGACATTTCAAATCTCGACATTTGAAATCTCGAGATCTAAACTCGACATTTGAAATTTCAAAACACAAATCTCGACATCTTAATCTCGAGTTTCTTATATCAAAATCCAAAATCTCGAGGTTGATCTTCGATTTTCAGGATCTCGAGGTTCTGCCTTAGAAATTTTTTTCTGATCAAATCTCGAACGGTCAGTTTATAACAACAATGGCAACAGACTCTTCAACACTTGGTAACAGCAACACATATAAAAAAGGTTTTAATTAGATCATATCAGGATGATTCAGATCAAATCATAAAGATCTAGATCATATCAGATCAAAACATTCAATTTTAATTAACTAAACACCTTCTCACTTATACAATCTAAAATAAGATCATCAAGATAATACACATGTTTCAAATAGCCCGACCTATATCCCCCGTTCAAATCCCACTTTGAACTAAGGACCATTCATTTACAAATCAAGCGCAAATATAGATCCTTTCTTTGTATGGGCTTAATGATTTACTGACCTTGATCGGATCACAAACCAGAGAGAATGTCATTCATTGAACTTGAAATTAAAGAAACTCTTGTGGTGCCCAAAAATGGTTCTCATTAATGATGTTATATCACTGAGCAATGATGAAAAGGGGTGGAAATGGGGGAGGAATTTTGAAAATAAACTAGTATTCTGCCCGTGTGATGCACGGGAAATTATCATATGACATTGTATACTACGCAATATGAAAAATAAAACATTTGGAATTTAAAAATAATACGTAAGTTTAATAACTTTTGATGCATACATAATAAGAGTTACATGTGTATTAATGTCAATAAAAATCAAATATTCGAAATTGAAAAATAATATGCAAGTGTAATAACTTGTGATGCATACAGTAGAGCTCAGCTAGCAATAATATCAATTTCAATTAAAACAATGTTGCTTAAAAAGTTTGGAATAATAACAATATGAAAACAAAATTTATTACAAATTTCGGAATACTTCCTTAAATACAACGTTGGTTGTTACATTTGTACTTTTCCCATCTGCGTCACATATAGCTATTTTCAAACCCGCAGGATTAGTGACGCGTGAAAGCGCAACATATAATTGACCGTGACTGAAAACAGGTTTTTTCAAGACTAATCCAACATTGGACAACGATTGTCCTTGACTCTTATTTATCGTCATAGCATATGAGACAATCAAAGGAAACCGTCTTCTTTCAAATTTGAAAGGCAATCTCACATCAGATGGAGTCAAAGACATTCTCGGTATCAATACCTTCTCACCTGCACTCAACCCTGTCAAAACTTTTGCTTCCAAAATATGTTTACCTAATCTGGTAATAACCATCCTAGTCCCATTGCACAACCCTTGAGAATGATCAAGGTTCCTCATTAGCATCACTGGTGTTCCAACTTTAAGATGCAGTTCATGATTTGGTACTCCTGAAGCTTTTATTCCATTCAAAAATTCTGGAGTATGGATATCTGCTAAAAAGTCAGGATTTGAATCTGATTTACACGGACTATCAGAACTAAGGTATGTCTTCATCTCAGAACCATTTAAAGAAAGCATGTAGTCATTGATGGAATCAACAACTTGTAGAGTGGGTGCCAATATTGCTCTCTTTTCTAAATAAATGGGATCTTCATGAATAGCATCAAAGGAAGGATAAATGCATTCAACCATTCTGGCTATAGGATCATCAAAATCTTTTAACAAAAACTCATCTGGAATCTCAATGTCCACAAACCCATCATTTGGTCCTCCCATGGTGCCATCTCCAATGCTTGCAATCCATTCAGAAAACTTGATCAAATATTCTAACTCGTCATCAGCTGGCAAATGAAGAAGCCTCAAATTCTTTGTTAAACGCATGACATTTGTATGTTGCCACAAATGGGAAGAATTTATGGATGCATTTACAATATCTTGCCTCGTCCCCTTAGGTATGACAGGAAGGATTTGTCTGAAATCTCCACCAAACACTATTGTCTTTCCACCAAAGGGCAATTCATGACTTCTTGAATTTTGAAACCGCAAAAAATCACGCAGAGTCCGGTCTAAAGCTTCAAAGCAATGTTTATGGACCATTGGAGCTTCATCCCAAATTATAAGCTTACACTTGACCAAAAGTTCAGCAAGAGCGCTACCTTGTTTTATATTGCACGTAGAATCTTCGTTAGGATGAATTGGAATCTTGAACCGAGAATGCGCAGTTCGACCTCCTGGAAGCAACAATGATGCGATTCCACTCGATGCAACATTCAATACTATTTCTCCCCTAGAACGTATAGCAGCAGAAAGAGTCATCCATACGAAAGTTTTTCCAGTGCCACCGTATCCATACACAAAGAAGACTCCACCCCTATTTGAATCAATGGCATTCATTATCCTATCATAGACATTTCTTTGCTCTGCAGTTAGATTACCCAGCAAATGTTTGTGCTCCTCTACCAAATTTGCCCGGTCATAATTCAACTCATCATATACCAACCGGTTGGTATTATTGAATAAAAATCTATTATCAGGTAATGGCATGCAGTGGAATTCTTCTAAACTCCTTCCACAACTACGTAACATCTTTTGAATTTCATACAAAGCATAATTCTTCAATTCTTCATCTGATAATGTAAGGTCTACAATAAACAATTAAAATCAATAATACATTTGTATAATAAAATTTTGAATGTGTGGGAAATAGTATAAAAATATACCTGGATGATTAAGCATCACACGTTGTTTGTGGAGGATATCTTCGGATAGAAAAATCCAACATTTTTCCCAAACCTCCTCTGGTCTACTTAAACAATCAGCAATTAATAGAGCAACAAACAATTTACGTAAACAATGTGCTGTTGCCCAAAAACTTGCTTCTTTGATTGCATCTATATACTCCTTATCATCGTTTAGTAGACCTAAAGCATAGCAAACATCACGAAATGTGTCATATTGGACACCATCAACCTTCTTTATATCTTCAAAACATGTTGGTCCACGAACAACATTCAAAAGACATCTAAGATAGAACAATTCACCGCAAGCTGGTGGCACATAAAATAGTCTTCCAATAGCGAAATTTCTCTTCCTTGGCACCCACTCTCTAGTAGATTGCTTCCATACAAATCTAATTGGCATCTCAGCATAAGTCAAGTTTCTTGCTTCAGGATATATCTCATTTGCTTTGAACCAAGCAAGAAACATGCTTTCTTTCACACTCGGCTTATCAAGAACTTCATTTATTGGCTCTAAGTCGTTAAAATAAACAATTTGTTCATTAGGCAAGTGAAAACTCAATCTCTCCACCCCAACACTTCTGTACTGAATTGCAAATCCTAAAGTTCTCCATGCAGCCTCACATGATGAAATATATCTGCAATCATAATACATTTTCACTTCATCCACATTATTATCTGCATGTTCTCCATTCGCACTTTGGTAGAATGTTGCAGTGATTCTATCATTTCCTTTATTCACATATTTGAATAAATATTTGATAGATCTAGACTGATTGCACCACTCCACATTCATATGCGCTGCATATTTTAGCAATAAATATCTATTATGAGGCACGACATATCTGTTATCCAACTCCGCTCCATTTTTTGAAATGGTTCTCCCATCAAATCTTCTCCTATACACGGGATACCCATCTTCATCCAAAGTGGTGTGCTCCACGAATCTTTTCGGAAAATGTTTTGAGCATCTACCATCTACCATGCAAGGAGACTTCTTTCTCAAATCTCCGCACGGCCCATGCATCATAAACTCCTTCACAACATTAAAATATTCAGGATCGCTCTCCTTGCAAGGAATTTCGGCTGAAATGATCTTATCAATGTGATCAGTTGTAGCTAGGTCTTCACTTTTCTCTAGAAACAACAATATGTGGGCATGTGGCAATCCACGTTTTTGGAACTCAATGGTGTATATAACTACAATACAAAATTGCAAATTAAATTCATCAATAGTTGAGAAGCAAGATTAGAATAAAATTAAAAATCATAAGAACATAACAATAAATTTAAATAATATTACATTTTTTATTACATGTTTAAAATACCTGCTCTTACAGTGCCAAATATCTTGTTGCGACGGAAGTCATTGATTAAACCATCCAACTTCATCTTGAAAACTCGACAAATAATATCGGGTCGATCCTCTGGCTTGAGATTCCGTTCATCAAGGTAGCGCTGTATTTCTGGCCATTTTGAATTGCAAGTAAAAGTTATAAATAAATCTGGATATCCCATCCATCTACATATGGCCATTGCATCTTGATAGTTTTGAATCATATATCTAGCTCCGCCAACAAATGTAGATGGGAGTATAATGCGCTTCCCCTGTGTGGCAGGATTTGTGTCACCACGCAATAAAGCATCATTCAATCCTTTAAACATTTCACACCTCAATTGCTTTTGATTATTGCGAATATAGCTTAACCTGCTCGATTCAATCAGAGTGTAACCATCAACAACATATTGCTGAAATAATTTCTTAGCACGCAATATAATGGATAATTCTGTATTTCTTTCGTGCAACCGATATGCAAGGAACTCTCTGATGCTGACCACTTTTCTCCCTCCGGCTTGATCCGATTTTATATTACACAGAGGTATGTCTTCTCTAAATCCATCTTCCCCATATGGAAATAAAAGTGGATATTGGAGCGCTAAATACGAAGGGTGTAATTCATTAATCCATTGCAACCTCCCAGTGCAATGATGAAAAGGGGTGGAAATGGGGGAGGAATTTTGAAAATAAATAACGACAGTGTCTTCATATGGTGATCGGCTGGTGATTTGCTGAGTGAGGGTAAGAGTGAGAGAGCGAGAGGAGAGAGCTATAAGTATTTCAATCACACGATCTATTTTAAGTCGCTGAGTTCCCCGGTGTTATTTATTGGGAAAATGGTACTTGATATACTTTAGTCCTAATGTGAACGTTTGCAAATGTTGACCACCGTTTAATCTCACTCAGCCACCCGCACCACGATTTATCTTATTGAACACGTATCACATCTATACTTTTTTCCTAAATAAGACTTGCTTCATAAAAATATTATGCTTATGTACCACTTTGATGGAATATTATAATTAAGGAATGCTCTTAGTTATGATCCAACCAAACATACTATTTGACATAATGTAAGTACATGCCTCAACCACTTCCCAAAATGTCAGAAATTGAGAGTATATTTCAAATAAATAATTCATTTACTTCATTTTGTTAGTTTTTTCGTCGAACGATTTGGAAAGCAACTGTATACCATATTGGCCATGCAAATTGGCCAGTTCAATTGTAAACCAAGATCAGCACCTCACGATATCTTATTGGAAGAGGTTAATATAGTCCACAAATGTTTTAGCTCGTGCCTATATAACAAATCACATTGTTATAATTAGACGTGGAGAGTATGGGGTTTTTTGAAAAAGTGTGATCCTTTGTTAGGTTGGAGTGAAGGACCCACTGGTTGGTTTGACAGGAATGATATATATACTAAAGCATGGTCGTATTTCCTTTGGTGATCTGAAAGAAGAAGGCATTCATCGAAGGATTTTGAGTTTTGATAATTGAAATCTACTGGCACAGATGGAGAGAAGCTAAACTTTAAACTCTAGGTTTCACGTTTAAAGTAGATCAATTAACTCACATATATAGGGGCGCTCATTGTCTTTCTCTATTTTCGGTTTCATCAGTTTGATTCAGGTTGGTTCAATGTTGATGAGAAAGGTAAAACCATGAGTCGAACAAACCCTATTTACTCAGTTGACTTGGCTTAGTTATTTTCGATCAGTTTTGGTCAATTTTAGCATGTTTCGATCAGTTTTAGATGTTTTGTTCGCTTCGGTTGGGTTTTCATGCTTAAACCTCAAACCGTGAACTGAACCACATATGATTGTTCAGTTTTCACAAGTTTCAATTTTCATGGACTAAAAAGGAAGTCTCATTGACTTCTGCGCTCGAAGAAGTCATCCTCCTTGAATTATACAAATGGAGTAGTCTGAGTTTTGAAGATGGATTGTTGTTGGATTCCATCCACTCTTTTTAGTACTTTATGCTTTTAATTCGCACAATTGGCTACTTGGCTATTTTGTAAGAAATATTGTACCCAAGTATTGACTACTTGACTATAGTTGAGACTTGTTCATTTTAAAATTATGGTGTTGAGGTGAGTTTGGCCTTTGTATTGATGTAGGATTGATGTTAGTGTGCTTTTTTGTAGTTGAATATATGTTATAGTTAATTAGTGTGTTAGAACAATACTTATTGTGTTCAAATTAATTATAATTATCTTTGTTAATGAGACTAGTATTAGTGGACTTTTTAGCTGAGAGAGAAGTGGGCTTTTTAATTTAATGAAACCCACACGCCTACTTTCCTATTTGTAATAGGATGCTCGACTCTCTCCTATAAATAAAGGTAGATGAGTTCAAACATGCCTAAGTTCCTACAAAATTTATTCTGCACGTATCATTCTAGGTAGAGCACCCAAGTTTTCTCTCTCAACAGTTCATACGTATATCATGTATTCTTGCCATATCATTATGAATATACGGTATTGATTGTTGATTGATTATTCTTCTTCTACATCAATTCTTTGTATTATTATTTAGAAGATTATTCGACTATTGATCTGGGAATCCACAATTGGTATCAGAGCAGAGGCGTATATACTGTTCGATGTATTTTTGAGAATTTTTGGAGGAATTAATCTATTATAATATAATAGCAAAAGGAATCTTGCAAGAGAAGTTCCCGCCAAAAGTGTCTACCGTAAGAAAGTAACTATAGTGTTCATAAAAAAAGTAGTGTACTTGATGAAATAAGATGGGAATACACAACCTTTCAAAAAAACACGGGAATACACAACAAAAGCAGGAAGCGACATCTCGACGTACGAAGACCAATGTTGTTATTCTTATCTCATGTAATAAATGGATATACAGATGACGTTTTCCCCAAAGAACGTTAAAAGAAGCAAATAATTAATATTTGGCTGCTAATAATTTCCGCTGTAGAGTATTCTAGAGGGTGCAATGGCCAAATTTTGCACGGAGTATATAAATACTTCATCAGTTCATCGACCATTTATCAAAGTTCTGCAAAATAATGTTTCATGAAGAGTAAAAGTTTATCTAGAATGTATGTCACAAAGGTAAAATTCGTTCTTTAGTTTTTTCTCATGTGCTATTTATTGTTTGTTTTCTAAACAAGTGCGTTGACATATTAATGTATTATAGGAACTAAAATATCTGCCATATAATGAAGAGTGAAATGGCCAAAGTATGGGAGTATAAATTACATATAGGTTATTTGAGAATAATTTCTTTAAGAAATGTACTCCAAGGATAACCAACTCTTAAAAACCTTATTTACAATTAAAAGGTTGAGCATGAAATTAAATAAGTTTAATTTTTTTATAAGAAATAGTTATCATTTTACAAAGATTTGAACTTATAATCATCAAATAGTATGATAGGTTTTATAGACATTTTATAAAAAAACAATGATTATTAAAACAAAATTGTTATACAAGTCATATTTGAAACAAAATGAAATATCAATCATTTTAGGGATCAGTTTCTAGCAAAGGATGAAACAAAAC